AACCCTGTCCTGGTGATGGTGTGGGACACTGGTCTGAGTAGGTGACGCTGCTTCCTGTTGCATAAATTAATTCTTTTTGCCACCAGGTTGCCTGTATGCAGTTCATCAACATTGTGGTCCACTCAGTGGAAAACATGAACTTCAGAGTCCACCTGCAGTACGAGTTCACGCAGCACGGCCTGGATGAATACCTGGAGGCAAGTGTAAACTTGTATGCCAAATTAACAGCTTTAAACTTCTCTTAGACTCAGAGTCACAGCTTTCAGTTAAACTGTGTTGATTATTTTTTGCTCTGGTGTTTTCTCTTTGTAGAATTTGAAGTTCACAGAGAGCGACAGGCTGCTGGTGCAGATTCAGGCCTACCTGGACAACGTGTTCGATGTTGGCGCTTTGCTGGAGGACGCTGAGACCAAGAACGCATTGCTAGAACACATGGAGGAACTGCAGGAACACAACGCGCAGGTCTGGATGTAAATGCATTAAATACAAACTAACCTTAAAGACAGTCTGTATCATATCAGCATGATTTCTATCAGTCTGGCCAGGACAGGTTTTCAAATAAACCTGTGAGTGTGGATGAGCACGCTCACAGGTGCAATGGTCACATGGACCTGCTACATGCAATGTCGTTGTCAGAGCTGATATTTATTCACCTTTCAAAAAACACTACAGAATGACAGGAAATACATCAAGCTGAAATAAACCTGAATATTTTCCTACTTTATTGCTTTAAAGCAAAACTGTAATTGTTTCTTTTATTAAATGCAGCTAGCTTATTAGTTAATCCAAGTCTACGTCTAATTGAGACATTGTAACACACAAATGAAGCAGCAGCTGAATCTGTTGAATGATGCAGTTAACAGGAAGCTGATAGACTCATGGCTCTAAAGCTAACTACCTTAGCCTAGCTTATTCACGTTAGCTTCCTTCTCTAGTAAAATACTTTCTTTTCTTTTTTTTAATTAAGCTACCGAAGAAAAAAATCATACTATGTGTTAAACTCTCCAGCAGCAACATGCAGTTGTTATTTAGATTATCTATACAGAAAAATGTTTGGGTGAAATTTCATGACTTTGTCTGGTGAATGAAAACTTTAAACATTACCGTGATATTAATCATGTAGGAATTCAAAATTACACAAGCAGTACATGCATGAGACAAAATGTAATACATTATAAGTCCACTTTAGCGTTAGTTTTCTTCTATGTTTGCTGCTCTCTGTGTAAAAATACATTTACCCATTACCCATGAGCACTCTGGTGTCACAGCTCACCAACAGACTTCAGGAGACCGAGACCGAGGCGATGGAGAAAGCCTCCGAGCTTGAGAAGAAGCTCATTCAGACCACCAAAGAAGTGGAGCTGCTGAAGGTAGAGAACAGCAAGTTCATGCTTACATGTTTTCATACAGAAACACAGACAGTGCCAAGCAGTCAGACGGTAGCAGAAACATCAGAGCCAACATATCAAACATGAATCGTGTCACCTGACAGATAAAGGTTCCTAGAATAAGGTAAATGGGGAAATGTGGCTTAGTAACAGAAAAAAAGGCCTTAAATAGAGACATAATAATCCATTTCATGTTTCTGTGCTTTTATTTGTGTCTTCTCTTAAACACCAGAAGAGAAATAGTTCACAAGTAATCGCTTTTTTAAGAGTACAGTACATTTATGGTTTTTAGTGTCTCCAAACATTAAAAAAAAAAGAAAATATTTGAACTCCTTTGTTTTTAAATTGTGCGAAAGATAAAATCAAATAAAAAGTGCAGTTTTGCTAAATTTAATAATAGTCTGAAATAACTGATCAGCTTTTCTAGAACTGATAACTCAGAGTTTCTTGAGTTTTACAGAGAGGAAAACATCAATCGCTCAGCTCGGCCAGTATCTCAGTAACCTGTAGCCGTTCGTTCTTTTCCATTAGGCTCAAATTTAATTTTCCTTGTTTCGCTGCCCCAAAGCTGTGATAACTACAGTATACTGAAACCTCACACCTACACCACATGTCCACCACATGGAAGAGATGTGATTTGATTTTTAAGCACCTTTCTGCATAAATTTGAATGCTAACGAGGAAAGAAATGCTTCCTGAGATGCTGAATTCTCTTTCTCACTTCAGGCTGATGACTTCAAATTAGTACCAGACATGTAGCATGCAGAGACAAACGTGTTGGCAGTGAATACAGCTTTGAAAATAGAGGAACTAATTGGCTTAATTAGGGAGAGACTGATTGTTCTTGTGAACGTTAGTCGAGAAAAAGCACTCTCACCGCAGGTACCCCACCTGGTGAAGATGATCTGATTAGAGTTTAGTGTTGCACCTGCATAAATCTGCATATTAATGAGCCAAAGTGCTGTGAGCATGCATGTCCTTTTGCCAAGACGATCACCCCAGATCACATATTTATTTTTTTAAGCTGACAGAACAGGTCCAGCCTGATTAAAGACACATCTGCTTCTGTGTCACAGGAGAGTCTGCGGGAGTCTCGCTCGCAGGTGATTCTGCTGCAGCAGCGAGAGCAAGAACGGGAGCTCAAGCAGGAGAGAGAACAAGACACCCAGGCCCTGAAGGAGCTCGAGGTCAAAGTTCAGGCTCTGGTGGACCAGGGTCTCGTCCAAATGGGGCGCTCTGCCTCTGGACACCTAGCTGTCCAGGTGGTGCAGCAGAACAAGAAGCAGAAAGGTCGGCAATGTTTTATCACACCTTCGTAAATCCTCGGTAACCACACGTACACTCACAGCGTGAACAATTTGAGTTTGAGTTTTATGAGCTGGATTCAGAAGTTCCCCTTTTTTAGTGACCAGCTGTGCTGCACCTATCCAGGTAACGTCAGGGTGAACTCTGGGTTTACAGCATTACAAAGGTGATGCGCTGGTGGTACATTTTTATGGTAACTTACCTGCACGTAGACAAGACCTTCCTCCAATTTCTGTTTTTATGACTCAAGATAAGAGATCAAAAGATCTGAAACCGTCATTGAGTCTGAAAACTGCATCGCCAGCCCGAGATGATACTTCAGACCTTGGTGTGCGGATAATTAGAAGCTCTTTGTATTTCCCTGACGGGCATCATTATGGGATATCGATTCGTGTAATCAGATTTATTCCTTAATTACAGCTGCACTGTAACTGCAAGTTGATGAGTAAAGTATTTCCTGACAGCTGCAGATCAGGTCGATACAGGAAACAACCTTCAGGCCGTTCCTCCACAATCGGTACAAGCTCCTCCTCCCCCTCCTCCTCCTCCACTTCCAGCTCCGTCCTCAACCACAGCTCCGCCTCCACCTCCTCCACCACCATCAGCTCTCCTGCCTTCTGGAGGCGGTAGGACGGAGGCGTCAGCAGGGACCTCAAGTGAGTCAACAATCAGAGCAAAATGAAGGTCTTAGTAAGTCTTTAAAAACAATCAAAGGTTTAGCAATTTTGGTTCATGTTTTATTTTCTTGTCCTTTATATCTTAAAGAAGAGACGATTTTTTTCTTTTTATACATCAAACTTGAAAATGAAGAATGATTACAACAAGCAAAAGTTTCCAGCTTTTATCGAACTGATTGTAGAGATTTAAAAATTGTTAAACTTTATAGAAAATCAAGAAATACCACAGAGAGGAGACATGTTGGAGAAACCAAAGTTTTCCAGATCCACTTTGGGAACTTTTAGTAAAGTTTTCCGTGTCTTTTCTTGTGAAAGTAACAAACAGACGCAATATTTAGGACGATCTCTCTGTTACAATACGAACATTTCTCTTACAGACTGTAAAAAGAAGAAGACCATTCAAACCAAATACCGCATGCCGCTGTTCAACTGGCAGGCCCTCAAATCCAACCAGGTCGCAGGAACAATCTTCAGTGAGGTGGACGACGAGCGCATCTTAGAGGTTTGTTCATGTTTCCTCTGCTGTCCCAAAAACATCTGGACCTGGGTTCCTTCATGGACAGTATTTACAAGATGCCCGTGATCACACCTGCTCGTTTTGGTTGCTGCATTTTGGAGGCTTAATTTGGAGTGAGAGGCTACTGTGCTAAGTTCTCAGCTAAGTCTAGCTAGCTGGTTAGGAAAAGCAGCACACAGACAAAGCTAATTGGTAAGTAACAGACTAATTATGCTCGAAAAGTCACTAAATTGGAAGACAAAGTTTTGGAAAGTCATTTTGTCAGATAATTTTATTAAAGATCCAACAAAAGGCATCGCAAACACTGGGCAGATGAATTATTGAAAAAAAACAAGCAAACAAATAAACAAACAAACAAATCAACCCTCACTTCCTGAACAGTTGAAGGTGGAAACTACCCGTAGAGACCCAAACAATGTTTTGTGCCAGGCTGTCAACACACTTTGCAACATGTTGGACATTTTTTACATGAGAGTTATGGGGACGAGCACTGGTTTGGAGTCAGCCTCCAGTGGCCATAAGTGGAACTACAGTTGTTTTGGTATTTCTGCACTGGCTTCATTTTCAGACGTGGAGGTTGCAGGTTGGGTTTTAATCCAATTGTGGTGAAAACAACAACATGCAATCTATGCATTTCTTTTCTTCTATATTAGTGCTATCAATCCTATTAAGACAGTACTGTGTTTTTATGTTACACTGGAATAGCAGTAATGTATTATCATGGGAACTTGCATTTATTCTGCATCACTTAAATCCATGGATCTTCTTCCATGCTTTTCTCCATTTGCAAACCTTTGTGAGTATTTTAAAAAGAACAAAACTAAATTAAAAATAATCTTTAGAACAAATTTTCCAGTTATTTCTTTCCAGCAGTCACATGCTTTATCAGGAAGTAGTTTATTCTGTAATAGGCTGCTAGGTGACTTACAGTAAACAAAAGTTTAATCTGAGTATTAAAAAAAATCTTAATGGTCTCTGTTTCTGTATTTGAACCCTGCTATTAGGAGCTAAACATGGCTGCCTTTGAGGAGCAGTTTAAGACCAAAGCCCAGTCGACCCCTGTAGATCTGGGAACCCTAAAGAAGAAAATGGCCCACAAGAGTCCCAGTAAAGTGTCTCTAATGGAGCCCAACAGGGCCAAAAACCTGGCCATCACCCTGCGTAAAGAAGGAATGGCTGCCTCTGATATCTGCTGTGTCATAGAGACGTATGTGTTAAACCCTGTTTGTGCATCAGCTGAATAATACGGCAATAAAAAGAAAATCTGAATATATTGCAAAGACACTTTATATTCAGAACGTGCACCGTCCCCGCAGGTACAACCTGAAAGCTCTGAGCCTGGACTTCCTCGAGCTGCTGGAGCGTTTCATCCCCACGGAGTATGAAATGAAGCTGATCCACAACTACGAGTGCGAGGGCAGGCCCCTGGACGAGCTCAGCGAGGAGGACCGCTTCATGGTGCGCTTTAGCAAGATCCCGCGGCTTTCCCAGCGCATCAGCACTCTCACCTTCATGGGCAATTTCCCTGAGAGCGTCCAGCTGATACAACCTGTGAGTCCACGGTTGAACTGTATTTGAGGAAAGAGAATTAAGCAAAGTTTACAACAGCGGATTTCACAGTCATGCCGGGGAAAAGGCAGTTATTCTGTTAGAGTTTATTCCTGAATAAAAGCCCACTTCTAGGAATAAAAGGCATTTATTCAGGTACTGAGGGTTAACTCGGGGAAATTTCTCCTTATCAGCACTCTGGCTTTATATTTACAGTGGAATCACTCTTGTCCTCTGACTCTGCGAGAATTACAAAAAAGTAGAACTAGTGCTTTAAAATAAATGTTAGTGTATACTGTAATGTGCACGCACTGATCTTTGCATTATTTCTTACAGCAACTGAATGCCATCATCGCGGCCTCGATGTCCATCAAGTCTTCCACTAAGCTGAAGAAAATTCTCGAGGTGATTCTTACTTTTATTTGAAGAGCTCCAGTTCATGACTGAATAATAACCTTTACTGGTTAGGACTGCTTC